GAGAAAACATCTTTCACAAACATCTACATGTCTGTCTCATGCAGTCGTGGCCTAATGGTTAGAGAGTCGGACTTGTAACCCAAAGGTCGCGGATTGTGTGGGATTGTCGGTGGGGGGAGTGAATTACCAGCGCTCTCTCCACCTTCAATACCACGACTGAGGTGAGACCCTTGAGCAAGGCACCGAACCAATGTTCCGGGTGTGTGTTCACTACTCACTGCTGTGTGTGTGCACTTAAATGCAGAGCTAAATGCAGTGTGTGTGCACTTAACCCATTTAAGCCCACCGGCAACTATAGTTGCCGCAGTTTATAGTTGTCATTTTCCTTTTGTAAGTATTTTTCTAGATGTTATCCATGTTTTATTTCTCAATGACATGCAAGAAAACAACCAAATAAAGGATTTCAAGAAAAAAAATGTATTCACTTCCTTCCTGTCACATGAGGCTGTCAAGTTTATACCCCTACTTCCAGGAAGCATGGCGAAGGCAACCCCTCCCAAAGAAATGTAATTTTCATGTTACTAATAAGTTTTTTGTTGACAAAGGAGGGGGCTTTGTAGAAAACGAAGCGTTTGAGAGAGGCAGGGCATAGAGGACCTACAATAATGTACTGTATTTGAAAAATAATGTGTTTTTTGAACATTAAAGCATGTCAACATATTCTGTTACACCAAATACACAAAATAATGATCTTTAAAAAAGCATCATATGACCCCTTTAATTTGATAGGAATAAATCTGTCAAAAGGAGGAGATGAGAGGGCAATCTTTCCACAGCTCTACTGCCCCACTTCTGTGTCTGCTTTTGCCATGGGGGGTGGGAATTTCCAGTTTTCAAGGGACAGCAGCAGTTTGCAAACTTCAGTCAGTCACACAAAAGGAAGAATGGAAAGATAAAGAGCTAATAACCTAATGGCTGCACTTTGTTCTGCACTATGTTCCACCACTTTAAGACAAATGGATTTGTTGTGTTTTCATATTCAAGAGATTATAAGCTAGATGCAGCCTTTTTTGGGTTTGCATCGAATGTTCTTGGACTTTAATGCATAATAAATTTGTTTATGAATAAAGATTGATCTGTTGAAAGCAGTTATTATGAGTTAGATGCCAAAAGCTCTCCTCCTACTCAAATTTGACATTGAAGGGGTGCATACAACATATTTGCCCACCGGCAACTATAGTTGCCGCACATTCAAATACGATTTAAGAAAAAAAAAAAAAAAAACCTGGGGAAAATAAATGCAGAACATGTTCACATAGGACACTATTAACATGACTATATGCATGAAACCATTCAGAAAAATTTGGGCACAAATAGGTTTTAAATGCAGAGCTAAATGCACAGCACAAATTCCAAGTATGGGACACCATACTTGGCCACATGTCATGTCTTTTCCTTTCGTTTTCCTTCCATTCCTTTTAAAGTGTTTAGTGAATGACTTGTATTTGTAGGGTTATTTTAGCACAATTCTTAACCCTACCCCAGACCTCACTAATTTTCAAACACTGGTTACGGCCATGCATGTACTGTAAAATAAAGTGTAACCTAACATTGTTGATGTATAATACATCTGAGAAAAACTGTGAATAGTGTGATTTAGCACGAGTGAGAGACAGATAAGCCTAAACTGTCCTCTCGTGTTCATTACTCACCTGTCTTCACACACACACACACACACACACAACACTGATACACACGCGAGAGAGAGAGAAGAGTCTCTAATGGACATCTGTGAGTGGCCTGATCCGATCAGCTTGTGCCATGTGACTGGCACATGGACCCTGTTTACACCTGGCATTAACATCAGTTTTTCACACTCAGCGGTAAATACAGGTGTAAACCGACTCTAAAACATTTTGTGATCAAATCATTGAAACCACGTATGGAGGTAGTCAGAAACGCATGTGAACACATACAGTATGTGTGTAAAGCCCAATACACTTCAGTAAAGGCCTATATTCATTTACTGCATTCTGCTCCGTCTTGCACACAATTGAGAATGCAAGCCTTTCAAAGCATACTGACCATGAGCACAGTTGGACACATTCGGTGAAAAAAAGCTGGCTTTATGTGGACAGTGTGCCCGGACATGAGTGGATGAAAAGTTGGACTGTCTGCGATCTGGAGCAGAACGTGCAAGAGAAATGTACTTTTGGCTGAATGCACAGCCTTTTAAAGTATACTCCGTTTGATAGCAGGCACTAGATTATTATACATTATTTATTATTACATGTGCACTAGAAAGTTTTGTCCTTGTCCAGTTTTTTCTTCAGAGTTATGAGTGATAAAATATGTATATGTACTTGTTTAGAGTAACTAGAGTTAATCTCTTAACTCCTTACACAAGCACTCATCAATGCTATTGTTGTCTTCAGTAGCAGCACCTAATTAGTGCAAAAAAATGCAAGGTGCAAATGCGAGCTGTGCCTACAGAGTACATGTGGTTAGAAAAATTGGGCTGTGCATGTACAATATGCACATTCTATGATGATGACAAAATCCTGGACCTCAGTGAAGCTTCGCCTACTCGCCAACAAATGATCGTTCTGGGACGAGCTGTGAGAAAGCACAACAAAACTTAGCATTGTGTGATTCAAACTTCACTGTAATGTAATGAACACAGGGATTACCTTCGTAACAGTTGCTGCTATCCTTATTCTTTTCATTTGCTTCTTTTGTTGCTCATTGATAATTTGTGTAACATTTATTCAGTAGTGTTCAGCGCTCCCGGGATAGTGATGTAGAGTGTGATGAAATAAGAGTGGGGATCTGAAACCATAGTGCACATTCTTGAGTGCACTCATTCAGTCCCTTAATGCATCTCAGCAAGGAGTGTACAGCATTCCTGAGTTCAAACAGTAGAGAATGGTGCTAGCATTGGCAAGGTCATTGGTTCAGTTCCCAGGGAAAGCAAGAACTGATAAAATGTGTATGAAATCTTCAGAATGGGCTTACGCTTACCTGGTTTGGGGGGGAAAATCACACAAGTGGACTATACGTCAGGGCCAGCATCCTGCAGAGTCTAGCTCCAACTTTCTCAATATACCTGCTTGGAAGATTCTAGTAATCCTAAAGACTTGGATTACTGTTTTTCAAGTGTTTCATCGAGGTTGGAGCTCATATCTGCAGGATAGTGGCTCTCATCGGTGCTGATAGCCTCGTGGGCTGACATACAAGACAACCACTCCTCTGGTGACCCGAGTTCAGTTACCAGCTCGAGGTCCTTTGCCAACGGGTGTTCCATTCCCCTCTCTCTGCTCCATACTCTCTCCTGTTTGATCTGCACTGTCATATCCAAAAAAGGCCCTCCAGGAGCAGGACTGGACACCCCTGGTATAGATTAGTGATTCCCAACCCTGTTCCTGGAGCCCCCAGCACTGCACATTTTGCATGTCTCCTTAATTAAACACCTGATTCAGGCCATCAACTCATTAGTAGAGACTCCAAAACCTGAAATGTGTGTGCCAGACGATCGAGACATGCAAAATGTGCAGTGTTGGTAGGCTCCAGGAACATGGATCAGAACTACTGTATTAAGGGTGATTTTGAATACAGCAAGTAACTGTTCCACTTTGATTCCTGTCAGGACAACAAAGCCTTCAGCATGTAAAATATATTAAAGTCAAAAAAAGAGTTACTCAGAAAAGTACTTGTGTTCTAGTGTTTTAGCAATGGCTCCCAACATCGCACATTTTGTATATCTCCCTAATGAAAAGCACCTGAATCTAATCAGTAGAAACCTGACATGGGTGTGTTACAAAGGAGTAATGCTGTGTTCAAGTCCTCCTGGGACGTTCGTACTTACCAGTTGACAAGTCGTAATTACGACGTCAGGTGCGTTCAAGTCAGTTTAGTCGGCACAAGATGGCGGTGTACCTTCTTTTAATAAATTACAAGAAAATACAACAGGGTCTGCATTTTTTTACTTGGATTTCATTAACTAGCTGCGTAACAAGAACATGACCAATTTAAGTTTATAGGACAACTAAACTATCAATTTAAACAAAAGTTTACCGTCAACTACAGACGTTGCATCCATCGATTCCGCCATGTTTCTCATTGACACACCCCCAACTCGGAAACTCGGGGCTTAAAGAAAATTTCAAGTTTCCCACTCGTAGATACGATCTATCCGACATGACTTGAACGCACCATAATCCCAAATGTGCAGATCTGTCAGACCAGGGCTGGGAACCCAGAAACCATAACTCTGATGGGAAGAGTCAAACATCTAGAACTGTTTTCAGCCTTCCAGAAGGGCCCTAGAATCATAGGGCCCTTCTGGAACCCTTTTTCTGGATTCTGTTTGAATGGTTAAGTTAAATTGTAGTCATCAAATAGTATGTCTAATTAATTGAAACCATAAAACTTATACAATTTAACAACAATTCATTAAAAGTTTAACAAAAATTACATTTGAGCGTGTAACAGACAGGGGTTCTGTGCTGAAGAGTGTTTTTTTTCCTTCTGTCTGCAGTCCTGATCTGCCCGTTCAGCAGAATTTCCTTGCCTCGCCATCTGTCTGAATGCTGACTGCTGATTCACCTTGAGCTCCAGCTGAGTGTCCAACTCCGGACGGAGGAAGAGCGCGAGAACACATGCAAGTCAAGGCTGGGCCGCTGGGTTTTCATCATGGCAAAACACTCAAATCATGTAGCTATGAAGTGGGCTATATAAATGCAAATTGTATTGGAGATCTATTAGAGGTCTTGGAAAGAGAGTCATATGTAAATGTCCCATAAGAGCAAAGCGTAAGGGGGGCATGACATTTCCCGACCAGGTGTCGAGTGCTGCCAATCACAACACACACTGGCTCAGCTAACCAATCACAGCACATTTCGTATTTCAGAAGGCGGGCTTTCATTTGATACAGGAACTATTCGAGCCGTTCATGCCAGACTGGGGAGAGAGGTGTTGTAATAATGTAAACTATGTGAAAAATAATGTGTTTTTCGAACAACCTAGTATGAGAGCCTGTTCTAGTACACCCCCAAAACAAAATTAAGACTTTGTAAAAGAGCATAATAGGACCCCTTTAAATTCAAACTCTGGTCAGTCATTTCTTCCTGGTGGGAATGTTCCTGCAGAGCCAGACCATCCCGTCCTACAGCAGACAGAGAGCATGACTACATCAGTGTCTCTCACATGAACACTATGTGTGTGTGTGTGTGTGTGTGTGTGTGTGTGTAGCTGGTAATCCCTACATTATGGGGACCAAATATCCCCACATAATTTACTGGAGTAATACCAGTAAATTCTAACCAGAAAGTTTTTTGAAAACAAAAATGCCTGTGGTTTTGTGTGAGGGGTAGGGTTAGGGTAAGGGGATAGAAAATACAGTTTGTACAAGTGTGTGTGTACCTGGACTCCCTCTGCGGTGAGAGCGGAGCAGGACTGGATCTGCCATATCCGGTCTCGTATGGTGTGCAGGTTCAGGCTCTCTGCGATCTCTGCCGCCGTCGCCGCCATCATCATGTCCTGCTTGTTGGCAAAGATTAACAGGGGCACCATGTTCAGTTTCTCCTCATCGAGCAGCTCTGCCAACTCCTGATGATGGTGGGCATTTCACACACACACACAAACACACACACACAGTGATAAGCTTTAGCAGACACCACAAAGTTTACTGCACACCTATTTCACACACACACACACAAACACACACACACACACACACAGTGAAGTGAGAGAGAGAGAGAGAGAGAGAGAAAGAGAGAGAGAGAAAGCCATCATTTAGTGAGGTTGGGTTTTCAAAAAGAAAAGTGTCAACATTATTAGACTGGCTGATGGTCCACTGACAACATGTGGTCTGTTCCACATATCGCCTAACAATCTTTTCATATTCAATTAAATGTAAATGAATCATGTAGCTATGAAGTGGGCTATATAAATGCAAATTGTATTGGAGATCTATTAGAGGTCTTGGAAAGAGAGTCATATGTAAATGTCCCATAAGAGCAAAGCGCCGCGCCCGAGCCGATTACCGGAAGAGAATGCCAGCGCCTCGTGGTAAATCATGGTGAACAAGGTGAGAACTCTGGAAATTGAATAGTGAGGTGGTGCATTTTGACTTATTGTAAATGCAAGAAAGATGCACAGGTGCAAAACTGCAGGCTAAAATGAGTCTAGCACTGAGGGAGTGTTTTGTGGCACAGAGGCCTGTGATACAGTTAAACTCTTCTCACTGATCACTATTTCCATTACAAGTGGATAAAACATGACTGAACTTGATTGCTCATATAACTCATAATGTGCTGTTGTGTATGAAAATGGTTTTCTGCCCATCAGTGTGGCTGCAGCACAATAATAGTGAATGCTGAGAAAGGTGTCCATCTAGTGTTCATCATGAAGAACTGCAGGTGCAACAGAGAAAGTACTGATTCACAAGACAAACACAAAGAGGCACTAATAGTTCTAAACGAAACTTGTTTATTACCAAAAAACACCAGTAAATTGTCAGACAGAGACTGTCATCATCAGTGACCGGATGAGATCATTAGTGTGAAAACCTGGGCTATAAAATATTCTCTACAAATAAATACTGTACTTGAGCATCCCATCAATAACAAAAACCCAGCTGGTGCTTGTCATTGGCCATTTTACGAACAGGATCAATATGGGGTGCTGTGTGTACATTAATGAGGAAAAAAAATTAACTTAAATGATTTTAGCAAATGGCTGCAATATAACAAAGAGTGAAAAATTTAAGGGGGTCTGAATACTTTCCGTACCCACTGTATAATACAGACAGTGATGAAGGTCTCACCTGTGCAGTTTCATCAAAGCGTTTTCTGTCTGAGCTGTCAATCACATAAATCTGTAATAAATCAACAGTCATTAGTGTAATCTCATCTGTTTGTATGAGGTTAACAATTGCTGATAGAAATAATACTGGATCAAATAAAATTCACTTAAATTCAACATGAAACCAAATTCACAACCCCTTTTACTTCTGCAGTGTCATACAGACGTACCACGGTATAAAGCCCACCGTCAGAGGGTCCATCAGCATCCAGAGCATCTTTTAACCCAAATCTATGCTCACTTCATATTTAAGCATAGATTAAGGACCTCTCTGTCATATATTTTTTTTAAATGCAGAAGTAAGCTTTTCTGTGAATGTGCGAGACGTCAGATTCATCAGCCGCTACAGGTAAATAACTAGAATAACAAAGTGCAGTAAACAGTGAAACTATTTGCGCTACAAAACAGTGTGTTTATAATTATGACAATACATTAAAGTAATATGATAAGAAATACCAGTTTGTAATATCAAGCATCATAGACCAGAGGAGAACTGGCCCCTCGACTGAGCCTGGTTTCTCCCAAGGTTTTTTTCTCCATTCTGTCATCGAAGCAGTTTTGGTTTCTTGTCGCTGTCGCCTCTGGCTTGCTTAGTTGAGGACACTTCATTTCCAGCAATATCGTCGACTTGATTGCACAGATACTATTTAACTGAGCTGGATGATGACATCACTGAATTCAATGATGAACTGCCTTTAACTGAAAATTGAGTGTTTACTATTGCCATTTTGCATTATTGATTGGTAATCAAACATATATTGGTATAAAACATAATTGGTGTGAAAATCTATAAAAGACAGCTGGGAAGTCATTTGAAATGTAGCTAGTGTCATGGCTGATCTCGCTTTGCTGGAAGATTTGGCAAAGCATGCACTGCGCAGAAAACGCCTTTTCAAAGACCACGCTGATCTGTTTAGTGAGAGCACAGAATGGCTTCTTAGTCGGTACCACTTTCTTTGCCATGATTTAGATGAGGACATATAGGCTACATTTAGGTGATTTATAAAGGGAGGTGTTGTCACCATATATGGTTCATTAGAGGCATTTCTGAATGCAAATGACCATGAACGTGAACGAGCATGGTGCTTGAGAGCATGTGTGATCAACAATGATTACTTACTGCTGTGCATATAACCACATGCGCACGTTTAATAAATACAGATTTATTTGTACTTACATTCTAAATTTCATCCGTAGGACAAAATATAGAACCTTTTCTACGCACTGTTGATAAATGAGGGCTCGGGCATAAACCTTGTACGCACAAAATGTGCATAGAAATGTGCATATGCAATTTTCCACGCACAAATCGGGATTTATATAAAAAAAATGAATTAGGCGTAAATATGTGCGGACCGTACAGGCCATGCGTACACACTCTTTTACGGAGTGAAATAATGAACAGAATGATTTTAAAGTCTGTTTTACATTTCATGTACACATTTAGATTAAATATGACACTATCATTAATGGAGTTAAGCACTGAAATTTCATGAAATCATTATCCAGAAGTTACAACATTTTTTATATGAAATTGAATAGGCTAGAAATATTTGTAGTGGATTTGCTGCTTTCGAACAATTTTCCTGCTGTTTTAACGTTTTTCACCACAGCAAGGATGGCACATGACAATTGTGTTCTAAATAGCAAACCTCATTTTTCATATTTTTGAGCGAATAATGATCGTTGATGTGAACTTGACTTCGTCTGATGGCGTTGGAACATAGACGATAATGACAGACATAAGGACGCGCCTGGGCCCCGGTTACTTTTGAGGTCTGGTATACAAATATGACATGGGCTAGAAAAATACATAGGCTATAAGGCTCATATGTATGCACGTTTAATCATTAAAAGATCGCAATCTCGATTCAAACACATGCGATCTTATTCCTAAATGACGGTGATTCTGCTATGTCTATTAAACCTTTGAAATCATATCACATCGGAATATTTAAACCTGCTTTTGCGCAGCCGCTGATCCAGAGAGAGCAGCGCTCATCATGTAAAGCTTTATGTTTGAAACAGCTTCACAAACAGTCTACACAGCAGGCTACATTTCTGTGTTGCAAACATTAAATACTAACAAAAGTATTGGGATAAAAGTTTATAGTCCTGATATAGACTCTGATGTTGCGGGAGCCGCGATCAAAATGGGTCTTTGATAGTAATAATATGCTGCAAATAATGATTGTATATGTTACATTATGCCAGTAGGTGGCGAACAGTGACTGTTAAATGTATTTGATGTCTAAATCATTCATTCAAGAGATTCAAAACGAAACAAGTCTTCATTTATTTATTTCAAATGATTTTATTTTTTACATAATTAGGCTAATTCGTTTAAATTAATAAATATTTTTAAATAGACTCATTTATAACATTAATAAAACATTTTGTCCGAAAATCAAGTAGATTACATACTTTGTTTGGTTGTCTGTTTTGTTTTCCTACATTTCTGTGTTGCAAACATTAAATAATAACGAAAGTATTGGGATAAAAGTTTATAGTCCTGATATAGACTCTGATGTTGCGGGAGCCGCGATCAAAATGGGTCTTTGATAGTAATAATATGCTGCAAATAATGATTGTATATGTTACATTATGCCAGTAGGTGGCGAACAGTGACTGTTAAATGTATTTGATGTCTAAATCATTCATTCAAGAGATTCAAAACGAAACAAGTCTTCATTTATTTATTTCAAATGATTTTATTTTTTACATAATTAGGCTAATTCGTTTAAATTAATAAATATTTTTAAATAGACTCATTTATAACATTAATAAAACATTTTGTCCGAAAATCAAGTAGATTACATACTTTGTTTGGTTGTCTGTTTTGTTTTCAGAATTGTGGGAGAATCATAACTTAAAAATACATTGGCTAATATATGTGGCATCTAACTAATACCATTAGTACTGTTAATATTAAAATTAGTTCTCCAACAGATGACAATATACAGTGAAAAAATTCTTATTTGGGTCATATTCCAAGACGTAGGCTAGAATCTGTTGTTGCAAAGTACAGTGAATATCCACACCGTTGCGGTGACTGACTGCCACACATACTCCTCAAAACATTAGATTCATCCGCACTGGAGCTGTGCCGGCACACAACCTACGCAAGGAAGATAATTCCGCAAACAGCTGCAATTGCAGGTTTTCAAGCACAGATGGTGACAAAGAGGCAAAATTTACGGACTGCAGCTTTAA